CGTACAGCAACGGCAAACGTGTTCACACGATACACGAATTTTCACCGAGCGTACCATCGGGATATAAGATATCGGAAACGCCGGCGCAAATCATTTACCTCCCGATCATCGCGCGAGCGTTACGGATCTAACGATACGCGTCACGGATCAAGACGGACGATTGCTCGATTTTCGAGGAGAAGAGATCACCGTCAGATTGCACGTACGACGACTACAGCGATAACGCGCGACGTGTGACATGCTCGTGTTGAACGACTCGGAGCGTGCGACGGATAAGAATATCTTTACGACTTCGACGATCGACGATATCATCAAATCGACATTCGGCAGCGTTAAAACAGAGACGAGAAAGAAGCTCAACGCATCGAACGTTAAATTTTTACAATCTTTGGGATTCGCGGTACGAAACATCTGAACGATGACTGAAATTCTTAACATCGGAGGCGAGCCGGTTTTTGACGATCTCATCGTCAAGATCGAGACTCACACGTACAACCCGTACGCCAACACAACGTTCGACTATAGCGACGAGATACGAATACCTATACAACAGCAGGATCTGTATACGTTGCCGTGCGAAAGTTTTCTCTACGTCGAAGGAACATTGACGGTGACCAGAGCAGCCGGCCAAGCCGATAACGTGGTATTGGGGAATAATTGCGTCGCGTTCATGTTCGAGGAAATTCGATACGAGCTCGACGGTGTGGAGATTGATCACTGCAGAAACGTAGGAATAACCAGCACGCTCAAGAACTACGTTACGGTATCGTCCGACAGAAGCGTGATCCTGCGAAACACGGGTTGGGAACCGCATAATAACGCGAACGAATACTTCAATTTCTGCGTACCGCTCAACCTGTTACTGGGATTTTGCGAGGATTACAAACGCGTGGTGATCAACGCTCGTCACGAATTAATCTTGATACGATCGCGCACCGACAACAATTGTCTGTTGGGAAGTCTCGCGTTGGAGCCTACTGTCAAACTACTCAAGATGCAGTGGCGAATGCCTCACGTGGTATTGAGCGAGGTCAACAAGCTGTCGATGCTGCGCGCCTTGGAAAACGGACGATATCTAAGTATGGGTTTCTGTTCGTGGGATCTGTACGAGTATCCCCTGTTGCAGAACACGACCAAGCACTCGTGGGCCATTAAGACCGCGACTCAGCTCGAGAAACCGCGATACGTCGTCTTCGCTCTGCAAACGGGTCGGAAGAACGTTATGTCCGCGGACACGAACCGATTCGACGACTGCAAATTGACCAACGTGAAACTCTACCTAAACTCGGAAGTCTATCCGTACGACGATTTGAATTTGGACTTTGGTAAACACAGATGGGCGATTCTGTACGAT